CCGCCCGCGGGCGCAGCGCAGGTGCCGCCCCGCGAGCGCGCGGCAGCGCCGGTCACGCCGCGCAAAGCGCCGACACGGGCAGCGGCTGCGGGCTCGGCGTCGGTGTCAGCTCCGCCGGAGGAGCCGCCGCGATGCTGAAACTGAACATGGTTAACAAAGGCCCCACTGTGTGGCTGTTTGAGCCCAAACCAGTGCCTTCAGTTGCACGTACCGCCACGGCGTTAGTGAAGCCGCTCCGCTCCCACAAGTGAAAGCTGCCAATAAGAAAAAGTATTTTAGTCCAATGTAGCCATCGGGCAATGTATCCGACACACGCTGCTCCCACGCCGCCGTTGCGCCTTGCATTGGGAACCCTCCCCAGGCATAAACTGGGGAGGATTTTCCCACACGTCCCCATTTCCCAACTCCTTCCCAGCGCAGAACACACCACGGGAGCATCCTCCGCACACCTGGCCCCGGCTGCCTGGGACACCCCACCCGCAGCACAGCCCCTGCTCCAAGCACTGGACCCCACGTACAGCATTCTCAGCCCACTGTTACAGCAAGACCCATACCGATAATGCTCATTGGTTTAGTTATATGTACGGAAATAATTCATCCTTATAATGGAAATGCAATAAAATTGTTATTTTGAAATAGTAGCTTATTTTGGTTAATCAGGAGAATTAATTCTTATCATTAACATAATGGAAGTAGTTGTACCAGGTGGATAAATTCCTTATGATTTTTATGCTTTATCTGTCAAAAATAATTCCCTTTATGACTGATGAGCCTGTAAATAGCAAGCACTCTTCATAGCCCTAACTGGTACAAAGCCCTGGCTCAGATTTTAAAATCTTAAACACATCTAATTGATCTAAAAAAAAGGAATTTGATGCCATTTCTGTACTTTACTTAAAAATTTTGTTGAGTAGGTAAAACTTGTTCCCTTTATAATTTAAATTCAGTTTCCTCTACCTAGCATGTAAACTAACAGTTAATTTCAAAATGTACATTAGATTATGCCAGTTTAGGACTGTCAGGTTTAGCTAAAAGACAGACCAGGAATTCAAAAAACTTAAAGCAGCAGTAAAATATTAGTCAATGCCTATGAGAAATGAGTCTGTCCCTTTATTCAGGGTGTCAGTGTTTAATGGTAAGCTGGGATGCATATAAGCTAGTCCAAGCATGAAGGGCAGTAGGACACTCGTATGGAAAGCCAACTTTGTCCCTCAGTTATCAAGATAAGAAACCTGTCATTTCTCTCATTCACTCTGTCAGCCTTGAGATACTCCAAGCAGACTTACCTCTGTGTTGTACACCCCATATATCAGGAAGATGAAGAGACCCTGTAAAATAAAATGGAGGGAAAAAGCTGTTAACTCTAATCATTTCAGCAGTAGAAATACCTGAAATAAACTTTCCTGGGAACAGACAAAAGAAGACACACTTCATCAAGGTCAATTTATTTTTCTATTTTTCAACATTATCAGCTGTACCTTGAGCATTTATTTCATAACATGGGAGTGCATCAACTATATTGTGATATTCAACTGTTCGAAAATGAGAAACTTAGCATCAAAGGATCTATAACATTAATTAGAAAATTTAATTTTATAGGAGTGGTCTTTCAAACAAAAGACCAACAAAATAAATTTATTTTAAAAAGTGAAAACACGAAGATGCCAAAGCAAGCTGAGAAGGAGTGAACACCTCTACTTCTGATATTTTTTAAAAAGTGAAATTAGGAAAATATATAGTACCAAGTTTTACACTACTCCTGTTTATGTATTGACAAATGTATACACCCCATTTAATTATTTTAGAAATTTGAAATAGGAAGAAAGTAAGAGATGTATAAGGACAGAAGAAAAAATAATGCACATAAGCACATAGTATACATGAATCACCAAATTCTTTTAACAGCTTGCTTCAAATTGGCCTATTATTAGACAAAACAAGCTAAAACCAAACAAAACATTTACTTCAGTGAGTTTCTCTGAAATGTTTTCACCTTAGTGAAGGATATGTTTCCAGGATCTGAGTTAACAGTGCAACTTGTTACTGGTTCATGCAATCTGCATGCAGAATCCTGAAAAACACAGTCAAATTACTCAGAAGAACAGAATAGCAAATGGAAATAAAATGTAAAATATATAGTTTGCTATGAAAATGCTTCCATAACTCAGATTCACCTTGGGCTTATAACATTTTTAAATTTATTTGTAAAATAACCCTAACTTGTAATACTAATATTTAAATTGGCCACTTGAGTATATCAAGCAAAAAAACTCGACTTTCAGACACAAAATATATTCTGATAAGAAACTGCACTTGAATAGCAAAGAAACTACAACTTTTTAATCCAACATGCAAATTACTTGAAGGCAGCTGGATTCATTCCAGATTTGCTCATCAGCGAAATCACTATCTTATTAGGAAGGGAGTAATAAGAGATACCATTCACATGTAATATTTCCATGGATTCCCCAATGCCAGAGTAAAATCCTTGGGAGAGAGTATTTTTGCTTAATTTCTTTTGTTTAGTTTCTAAAAAAAGCTAAAACCCAACAGTTCCTTTCAGTTATTTTCAGATTAAATCAATGAACTCAGCAATAAGCAAGAATAGATTAAAAAAAAATAAACAGCTATGTTTTTGAGTGTGCCTTCACACAAAATATATCACAATTATATCATGAAGCTTGTTTGTAAATAGAACAACCAGAATCTCTAAGTTTGGCAACTCAGATAAGTGAATTACTCAGAAGCAAACTATTTGTAGAATAAAATCCCAGTTATCTCTCTAAATACAGAATTAGTGGACCATTCTGAGTCCTTTCACAGAATTATCTGAAATCTGCATTTAGACTGTGGAAAGAAATATCAGAAACTTTCTCAAAAGTTACACTGAAGTAAAATTAGTTATATCTGAGATAAAAGTAAATATTGAAGTTACAGAAAGTAAGATGAGCACATCATAATTGCATTAAACATAACTGGCAGCTGACTATTCAACATACAGCAACAGAAGCAGCATCACAGGCATTTCATAACTGAATGTTCTCCAAAACAATGCCAATAATACAAATGTAAATAGTGTAAAACACATAAAAAAGTAAGCATTTTTATTTACTAATCAGATCATGATCTGTGTACATACATTAAAAATGGAGAGTGTATAAAGTGTACACTTTTATTTCCTCATATCTCCGTTTCAAGATGCAGGATTTTAGGGATTTCCATCCCAGGCAAGAGGTTGCAATGGGTAAATGCCATAGTGAGAGGCAAGGAATAATCAGCTATTGTTAAAAACAAGGGGAAAAAAAATAAATTCCTTTCTCAGGCTGATCCCAGAAGAGAGAGTAAAATCACATGCTTCTTGTTATTCAGGTATTTTCATGAGTTAAAATTCTTGCCAAAACTGTCAGTCCAAACAATATTGTTTGCTGTGATATTAAGACTAAAAAAAAAAAAAAATTAAGAATATACATTCAAGACTTCCAACACTGGAATGTTCTTTTTAACCTAGATATGCAAAAATAATGTTTTTAATTGCTTCTGAGTCTCTTCTGAAATCTATGAATCTCATAAAATCCCAGGAAAACAAACTAGTTAGCTACTTAGGTTTGGATATTTGCTAATCTTACAGCATATTCAAAACAAATAATTACAAATTCCAGATCTTAAATTGGCATGCCAAGTTTTTGCTTTTCTTGAGCTCGATAGTAGCTCCTTTAAATACTTAACTGTTAGAAATATGAAGTGGTGTGGACATTCTTATCTTAATTCTTGGAGACTTCTGGGAGCTTTCTGTCTTATCTTGGGGGGGAGGGGCAAGAGGATGTCCTTTAACATCAATAAATTATTCTAGTAGAATCAGCCCAACAAGGATTTTACTTATTGTTTGCAATGAGTTACTAGATCTTGGCACCCACAGCTGATAATATGGGGTCATTTTCCACACCACACTGTCATCAACAATTGTACAGGACAGTTTGTGGTCCATCTGAGATCAAAATCAAGAGTTACAAATCCTCAGGTGGTTTGAAATGTTAACAATAATATGGTCTTACAGAATTGATAGTTCAGTTTCTTTAGCTCATTAATTGCAAAAAACAAGAGTTTCTCTGTTTCTTCAGTGGGCCCTGCTGTTGGCTGCAGTGTGGTTCTGTGAGCAGCTGCCTCAGTTGCTCAGGCTGGTCAGATGTTCTTTGGCTTCTGGGAATTAAGCAGTGTTGTGATCAAGCCAGTAATTTTATCCAGAGCTGTTTTTTATTTCTGTTGGGATTAAAAAATAACAATAATAAAAATTCTTCATTAAGAAGCATAGAAAGCACATTTGTAATTTTTGTATCCCTACAGCACATATGGACACCCAGAGGAATTGTAACCCCATTATGCTAAGTAGCATATACGTCCAGCATAAAGCCATCTATGCCTTGGAAAGGTAAAGATTTCTAGACAGAAAACCTGGCCACATGCAGAGAAAAGAGAACATACAAGCACACCTGTCATTTTCCAAGTCTCATCCAAAAGCAGGATGTGTTCTTGGTAGACCACAAGCAGAAGTCAAAAACCTTCAGCTGAGCTGGAATGCTGCCTTTTGCAGCGAGGAAAGCACTGCTTCGTGCTTAATTACAGTTCTATTTGTCACTGTGCAGGGCGGGAACAGATTGCTCAGCTTTTAAATTTGGCAGGTCTTAACAGAATTGTCCTTGCTATCTTGAATAAATCAGTCTATGGACAGTTCTAATCTCTAGCAAGTTTGTCAGGATCTGTTCCAATTTGGGTGGTACCACTGAAAGCTGACACTCTTATCAGAACTTCATTCTGCTTTAGGGCAACAGAAACCTACATGGCAATTGTTTTAGCAGAAGTTTCTTTCCCCGGTTTTAACATTTGTCTCTCATTCTGTTACTATGTGATGTTTCCTAAAAGATTCCTTTTTATAGACAGCATATTTCATTCAAGATCAAAAAATAAATTAGAATCACTTTTTGGTGTGGTGGAGACTGTTACACTAATACTTTCAATATTTTGAATTTCAGCATTCTTTTCAATATACCCATTTTTGAGTATGTAGAATTACTTCATCCTTCTTCTGTTAATTTTTAAGCCTTTGATCTCTCATTTGCTTGATATAACTAAAAAGAATTTTTAAGAATTCCCAAGTACTAAAATCCATACTATAATACTTCAAGGATGAATTAAATAAAACCATATTAGCAAAATATGCACAAATGAAACCCCATGAAATATATTCTAAATAAAACCAATAATAATAAAAACAATTAAATCTTTCAAAACATTAAAAATTTCCACCACTGAAAAAGCTTGGATTGCAAGAAATTTTTGATGTATGGGAGAGAGAAAGAAAGTATATCATATGCAGCTATATGAAACTAATTCTACTTTTTTTCCATACATTAAAAAATAACACTATTGCAGCAGCAGAAACTGCAGACTGCAAATAGAATTTATCTTACACAAGCAGTCTTTCTGTAATCCTAAAAGAAATAAAAATTATCTTGGCAAGAAATTTAAATCCAGATTAGTGCTAGAACCTGTAAGCCTCAGGTAACTTTAGTCATACAACATCGGGTTTAATGCAAAGGATACCAAATTCAAAAATTTTTCTACCATAGCTGAAGAAGTTTGAACTCTTTACTTCAACAGTTAACAAGCTTGACATTTGAAACAGTACCGTTGTGAAATTTCAAAATCACTGTCCCACGAGTAACCACTTCAGGTCTTGTAGTTATCACTCAATTAGTACCTGCAAGTTTAGCAAACAGGAGAAAACAATGTGACTTTGAATCAGATTTTCTGCCTATAAAATCTAGAAGTTAAAAAAACCCAAACCAGCAGGAATTTTGTAATGCTAATTAACAGATCCTCAGAAATTTGTTAGTAATAAACTGTAGAAGCAAAGGTCCTGGAGCAAATCAGTAACTTACCCTGTAACACATTCTTTGGTATGGCCTTGGAGATTAATTCCTCTTTGCCTCAGCTGCATATAGAACCAGACGGTAGTTCCTTCGTTCTGAGCCATATTAGAAAGATATTTCCATTAAAGTCAGGAGAAGTGGAGTTGGATAGCCAGAGTACTACTCTGGATTCCACACCAAGAATCTCTGCAAGGACTGAAATACACAAACAGGTTCTTTGGGCTTTGTTCTGTACACGAAGAAAAATCTATCCCATAATGAAAATATCATCAACAAATAGCCTGAAAGATAAAAAAATCTGTCTTTTATCCGTAGACTTTTTTTATTACTCAAAAAGTGACAATGATTTTTGAAACACTGGTTCAACTGCTTTTAAGGAAAGGAGCAGCAATAGTTGAAAAACCTGCTTTTAGCCAGATGAGTGGCCTATTATCATAATTCTTAGCACTTAATGACAAAAAACCCAACCATATATCTTAGTAACCAGGGATGCTACAGCACCTTTCCTTCTCAGAAATAACTACTTCTATGGAGCATAACTAGATGAAATTATATACAATATGTGCCAGTAGAATAACTAGGATCTAGGATACCAAAAGAGCAGCTCAGATTCTCCACAGCCTGAGCAAATTAGCATTCCATGTTACCAAATGTAAGCCTACCCTGAAGTTTATTTTAGATAAAGTCAGCAATAACCTCCCTGCACAAAGGTATGTTTAGGATGATAGGAAATTTTCATGTTTAAAAGAAACCAACCAGAATAAGCTTCTATATGGCAGATGTATTAAATTTCTGACATAAATATGTCATCTAACAGGTTTTTTAAACTACTAAGATCCTATTGGAGCACCTAGACAAGCCTGTGTTGATCTACTTTTTGAAGTGACCAGGGTCCTTTCTTCCATTTGTCCTTGAAGAGGACAATTTGACTGTTGCAATAAACCTATAAGCACTGCAGTCAGGGCTACAGGATTCATTTTTTAGATGGAAATACATCATACTGTAAAATGGTTTCCTGCTTCTGCTTCTTTTTTTCAGAATTATACTTTTCAAATCAAGATATTCTTTCAGAGCATGAAATAGCCAAGACATGAAGCCAGTTGGGTTTTTTTCTGATAAAATAATTACTATAATCACACCATCACCAGGTACATCAAAAACCTAAACAGCACCAGTCACAGGCAGAGAGAGAAGACTGATGCTTCCATCCATTTTTTTCCAGTAGTCTGCTGTTCACACACACACACACAAAGTGGCCTGAAAACAACTAACATATACTAGAGCTTGGTCTTGCTATACCTTTGCATTCCACCACTGTACAAAATGAGTCTGTTTATATAACGCTGTACGTAGAATACTGGCTGCTGGGAAAGAACTGCAAATTTCATTCTACCTGCTTGATCTTACCAGCTTATAACTTCTTCCAACTGCATCCACTCTCTGTACTTGTCATCAACTCAGATTATTTCCTCTGTTACTAAACCGCGCTTTCTAATTTTGTAAACATTTCTTCAACTGCTTTCCTGAACTAGGGAACATACAGAAAAATGGATTTTATTTCACACAAACAATTAATTCATGCTCTTTAAAATAATAACACCTCTTTAAAAACTTTCGTATTTGAAAAAACGGTGCATTACATTCTCATTCTAAAGGTTGATCTGCTCCACCCAAAATAAATTATTGCACATACAAATAAGCACAAAACCTGTTTGCAATGTGTTACCTGGTACAAAAAAATGTTGTTTCACATCACATTGAGCCAAATTCTGTATTCCTCACACTTAGTAGCATCTCACAAGATGGTTAGTGAGTTTAATCGGGATCACTCACAGCCATTACAATATTGTTAGATGTGAGTAGAGGGGAGAAAAAAAAAAATCTATCTGTTCAGAAAGGAAACTTTTAGAATTACAATGGAGCAGATTATACTGTAAGTATCACTGTAAAATCTCTATAAGAAAGCTAGACCACAGTCAAAGTTTAATGCTAGTATTATTGTCATTTACGAATTTGTATTTTGCAAGTGTTTCTCCACCTTATACACAAAACCCGGTAGGTGTGTTGCATAAAATCCCAAGGCTGTTACACATATTAGAAGCCACTGTGTATCACTCTCCTTCTTGCTTTATAGTAGTTTAAAGTGTAAGGTTACAGCTTTTCTGAATCTGTAGCCATCAGAAAAAATTCAGTGAACTATACTGAATGCCCTATCCACTTTTGTTGGGTTCCTTAGAAATAACAGGCAGAGCCCTATAAACCTCCAGGGAATAGCTAAAAAACACCCCAGTGTTGCTCACTCAGATGAACAGAATTTTTTCCACAGATTTGAAGCATTTGGAACAGCTACTCAGACTCCATCCTATGCACTCTTACTTCACTGTAACAAAAACTGTACAATAATAATGACTCATGATTAATGATTGAATGTGTTGGATTTTTTTTTAAGCTATAGCTCTAGACAGAATCTGTATAGTTTAAAATATGCCTTAAGATGTCAAAATACACACATACTTTCACACATTCTAGATAGAGTGTTATTCATCCTAGACTTCATTACTAGCCTAAAAAAAAAAAAAAACCTCATAAAAGCATTCTATCTAAATTCTCTTCAGTGAGATGAATTCATGATAGACACTATTCCCATAGAACTAATTTCCTTATTATGTGACTCAACAGTTGTGCCACATCCTCTCCCCCATTTTTCATGTCAGATCAATTCTGTTTGGATTAGAGGTGGAGATACACTGTAAAAGAAACACAGGATTTGAGGTCTCATTCCAAATACATATTTTCCTACTACTTTAGGTTCCTGATGCTGCCATCCTCTATTAGCAGAAGCACCTTTAGGCTTTCAAACGGGAGTTGTGCCTGAGTACAGAGAAGGCTGTTAGTCCAGTTATTGGTACAAACACCTTCTTGCATTATTAGAAAAAGGCATAAAGACAAGGCAGCCCTGTGAAAATAGTTTCCAAGGGTTATGCTTCTGTTCTCTCACTTTGTTGCGTAGCAAATATGATCAGTTTACAATTTGAGTTCTTTCATGAGCCAGCCCTGCTACATGATTGTGAAAGCCCTGATGGGTTCTGATTCCTCACGCATGACCAAGCTTATCTCAAAAATTTGGATTTATACTGTATGTTGGGTTCTAACCATGTCTTTGAAATTTTGCTTTCAGTCGTGTTGTTGCAGTAAAACTCACTGTGCTTATGTGCTTTGAAGGACTCTTTGTAGTTTTCCTGTATGCTCTGCGATGAAGCCTTAACTGTTCAGTTGATGATGGTAATTGACCTTTAGAAAAAAATTGTGAAACACTATATATAAACCACTACCTCAAATATAATTAATAAAAAGAACTTGTGGCACTTTGCCTTACAAAAAAACCCCACTGAACTCTAAGGCTGTATAAATAATTGATTTTTCAATCGCTGTCTGGAAATAGGCACTGCAATTAATTGCTACTTCGGGATTGACCCAAACTGCATATGTTCTCTGTTGTCATGGCAAAATAAATAAAAACATTTAATTTAAATTTAATTTAGCTTCATCATGGAGTTTTTAAAAGCCTCACAAAAGTGTATTTTTAAACAGTGGATTTTAAAAATATGAGCATATTAAATAAAATTATTTACACCTAAAAACAACCCACACTTTCAAGGTTCTTTGTGAGAAACACAGTCTGAAAATTTGATGCAAGCTCGCATATCATTTCTGTTGAACCAAGTTTTCATTTCTGCCCAGCACTAAATAATTCATAATTCAGTTACGCAAATTTAAGATGGTAAGGAAAAAAAATAAGGTCTATTTCCACATTAGCTTGCAAATGAGAAAAAGTCTTTTAACAGCATATTTTGTGAAAAGCAGTCATTTCAGTTTTACATTCCAAAGAATTGTCTCACTTTCCTTTGCAGCACCTCTTTCAGTTCCTATTGACCATAACAGTCATGGAAGATTTTCTGGCCTTCCCAATCCTCATACAATGTCATCCTCCTTAATTCTGTGCAGGGTGATTTAAATCGGACCTTCGCTGACCACTCAAGAAAACACTCAAAGTGGCTGTGCACAGAGAGCCATTCAAAAGCAAAAACGAAGAAGAGGCAGAAATGAGTACAGTTTTCTACTAATGTCTTCCTTTTGCAATATTTTTTTACATATTACCAACAATTGTATGTTTAAAGATTCAGTAGCTATTTTAATTTGGCAGTGCTTGACACAGCTGTCCATTTCCTTGAGCCAACTACAAGGGCAGACCACGGTGATTTAGGTTCCTTTTGAAAACATCTTATATCAAAGGGTCAATAAATACATAAACTCAAGAGTTTACTATGACCTAAAATATTTGTACAGTAATTTTAGGGAAAACAGTGCTTACAGGGTTCTCCTAATAGCAAAGTGGAGGGGTCATTTTGGTTTGGTTTTTTAACATCCCTTAAGAAAGTAAAATCAATCCCGTTTACATCAAATTTAGGACTTGGAAATGTCCAGTTGGTCTGGAGAACCTTCGGACATAAACAATGCAATGGTGAATGAAACAGGAGATTTGATATTCTAATTTATTTAATGGCAAAGCAGGGATTATTCCCACATGCCTCCTCCAGATATTTCACATTTTTCTTCTAGGAAGTATTTTTCACCATGAAAGGGCAAATTGCATGAAATTTGAATTAAAGAGACATATTCTAATAGCAATAAGCCATGCCAGGGTGTGCATTACTAGACTTATTGGCAAGCCTTTCAAGTGATTGAAGGCACTTGGTCTTCAGGCTGTTTCTTTGCAGCGTACCCAGGACATGCACCAATAGCCTACACACATCCATCTTTGTGGGGCTTATTACTACTACATATTAATCACCATGGCAGTCTGGTGTTGGTTACTAGTCATTCCTCCACAGCTGGAAAGGACTGAAAAACAAAGGTTTTGGTTGCAATTAAAAGACCACCGTGTCTTTAGGGTCTTGGGAGAAGCACAATTTTCAGTCCAAAGAGGTGATACTTTCAGAGCTCCAATAAGCATTTAATTTTGCTAATACAAGCAACGTCAGATGCAATACTCTGATGCTGTACTAAAAGCTGATCATGAACACAAAATGTAGTAAATTGATCCTACAGTGCATCTAAAAAAGGATAATAAACAAAAAAAATACATAAATCATTCATATCACAAAAAATATGTTGATATTTCAGTGCGTCAATAGCACTTGCTGGAATCTGCTACATCAACTAGTTACATTTACTTTCTCAA